GTATTTTAAAAGGATGTGACATTTTAGGAAGTAAACAAAATAAAGAAAAATCTGTTTATGTTTTTAATAATTACACGTTTACTATTAACAATAAGTGAAAAAATACAATATAGTTTTTTTATGTTATTTTAAAAATACTGGCTTGAAAAGTCTGCATATTAATATTTTATTCATTCAAGTGTTATAAAATTAAGAAAGCCTGTATTAAAAGTTGTATTTATGAATTATTTAATAAGAAATAACATGTGATATGATAGTTCTGTTTATGGTATAAAATATTATAAATCTAGCTTATGAATGTACGCAAAATCTACATTCAATGGTTTAGTCTAAACTATATATTACAAAACTTTGTAATTTATCAATCGTTGAAAATAAATGTTCATTTTTTATGAAATATATAATAATAGTACGTGTCTCTCGCCTAATGTATGTAAATATTTACGCGATAAAAAGCAGGTTACAGACTCCAAAACAGAAAAATTATGTACGTATTTGGGCGAACCCGCTTGAGTTCTTCCCCCTCTCCCTCCAACATTCTTCGCCGACCTCAAGCGGGTTCGCCCAAGATACGTTAAATACTAAATCTAATCAGCGACAGCATTTGATATGCAGTGCTATGTTTATTCGACTTGAGCACACTGAAAATAATATCGCATAGGCATCAGCATGTTATATATAGCACTGGAATAAACTGACTGAGGCATAATAAATAAAATAAAATAAACACCGAGCCCGATCGGTAGCAGCATCTGATATGCAGCGCTGGGATGAATCGTCCGTAGCATAATTAAATTAATATCAAATCGGCAGCAGCACTGATATTCTGAGCTGGATTAAACTGGCTGCATCATTATCAGATATGTACCGCTGATAATAGTATATCAAATCCTATCGGCAGCAGCATGTTATATATAGCACTGGGACGAACCGGCGGCATCAATATCAACTGTGCAGCGCTAAACAAAAATATAATAAAATCGGTAGCAGTATGTTTTTTGGAGCGCTGAACAAAAATAATCGAATCGGCAGCAGCATATTATATGCATTGCTGGGAAAGATTTAAATAAAAGGTTTGTTCACATATAATGACCAATCCGCCAAAAAGACGATGTCACGTTCTCAGGATGATCCCTTCCCCCTGATCGGCGAGACACCATATCCGAGAATGTACACTAGGTATATAGTGTATCCATCGAAAAACACCGACTCACCCAGGAGATGATGTCCAGGTGCTAGGATGACTCTGAGGTGGATGAAGTGCGGCAGTCAGAGCGACTTTCCCCCCGGTTGATAAGGTGTATGTACCAGGGTGACCCCTCCCCCGATCAGTGAGATATTATCTCTTGGAACGTACACCAGGTATATAGTGTATCTATCAAAAAACACCGCCTCATCCAGGAGACGATGTCCAGGTTCTAGGGTGACCTCCAGATCAACCTTTCGCCCGGTTAACAAGGTGCAGAGATCAGGCTGCCCTCCCTGAGATGTACAACTGTCATCGGAGATAAATTATTCACCATTCAAAAAGAACGGATGGATGGACGGACGGACAAGAGATGTTTCTTCACTTTAATATAATTATTTTCTTTTGCTATTTATTTGTCAATCGATTTTGATTGAGAATTTTAAATTATAGAATTGTTTTATGCATAAAGTGTACTTTACACATTTTTATTTCTATAAATGTTTTGATTTGATTCGAGCACTAGACTGAATATTAATATGAACATGAAATGAAGCTCGCTTGATTACACGAATCACCAAATATTTGATAAAATTTTTTAAAATTCAGCCATCATACTTGACATCACGGTGAGATTTATTGATAAATCAACATTAATAAACATTTATAAATTCTTCATGTTGCAAAAGGTCTAATTTTTTTATTTTATAGATTTAAATATACACTGCCGATCAGTCACTTTTACCCCCCCTCGAGCAAAATTGCTTGAACTTGGAAGTTTCATATTTTTGGTCATAATCAACGTACAGAGACGAGCGGGAGCGCATTTGAAATCTCTTTCCAAGAGCTTTCGAATAGTATACATCGGAAAATTTATGAAATCGGTTTTCTAATTTTTTCAATCGAATATTCATCAATGAAAATTCCGAAATTTTCAGTCTATCTTTGATAACTTGCCAATTCTAGGGAAAAAATCCCACGAAAATTTTGAGCACAGCATTTTCTTCCTTTTTTCAAACCCTATCCAAATCACTGGTCAAAATTTTGTCCATCAAATATGACCCTTGTATGAGAAATTTTCTTTTATAAAATTTAAGAAATTTTCAACTTTTTATAACTTTGTAAATAAACATCCTAGAAAAAAGTGTACATGAAAGAAAATGTTTCATTTTTTACGTAGAATACTGTTAAGTTTTTTCAGATTAAAAAAAAAATATTTTTTTTATCCATCTTTCTATGGTCGTTCAAAAAAAAAGTAAAATATTCATCTGCAACGTGAAATTGTCTTTTTGTAAAATAAAAATTGTAGATTTCAAAAACTTGTTCCCATTTTTTTTTCCTCACAAGAACGTTGTTTTTCAAGTATTTTTCATCGCTGCTTTTATAGCCGGTACCAAAAAAAAAAATATTGTACAGGAAACAATAGTGAGTATACGTGTGTGTATTCACACCCAGTAATCACAGGCTTATTTAGTAGATACCCTACTATTTGTAAACACGTTGTATACTCCGGTGTTTACAAATAAAGTTTATATACGAATGCTCACTATATGAAATGTGGTATCTTCTTAAATATTTCTGTGTCTACGATTATGAGCAAACTTGTTGATCGCGAGCCTTTCAAGTGTGAACAACTGTTTGTGTAATGTGTAGTGAACATGGCAAAATCGAAAAATTTGTCCGTGCGTGAACGTAATAAGATCATTGCCCTTCATGAACTGCAAATGAGTAGTCACGCTATTTCAAAGCAGTTGAAAATAGACAGGCGCACAGTGGCTTATAATATTAAAAAGTTCTGTACATCTGGAAGTGTCGAAAATAGGCAACGCAAACCAAGAAGAAAAACTACTGCCAAAGAAGATGACTACATTTGTCGAACAAGTTTGCGTAATCGAAAAGCCACTGCCTCTGAACTTACCGCAGATGTCAACAAACATTTAGAAAAACCTGTGAGTGTGAGTACGGTAAAGAGACGTTTGCGAGAGAAAGGACTTTTTGGTCGAGTTGCCGTTAAGAAGCCACTTCTACGATGTGTAAATAAAAAGAAACGCTTACAGTGGGCAAAAAGTCAAAAATTGGACTATTTCTGATTGGAAAAATGTACTGTGGTCTGACGAGTCAAAATTTAAAATTTTTGGAAGTAGAAAGACAGTGTATGTAAGAAGACGGGTTGGTAAGAAATATAGTAGTGATTGTTTAGTTCCAAGTGTGAAGCATGGTGGTGGTTTAGTTATGGTATGGGGTTGTTTTGCTGGATCAAAAGTAGGTGATATTGTGAAAATTGATGAAATCTTAAAGAAAGAAAATTACGAAAACATTCTACAAAGGCACGCTGTAACGTCAGGAATTCGACTAGTGGGAACACAATTTGTGTTTCAGCAAGATAACGATCCAAAACATACATCCAAATTATGTAAAAATTATCTCTCAAATTTAGAAAAGAAAAAAAAATTGAAAGTTATGCAATGGCCAGCCCAGTCGCCTGATTTAAATCCCATCGAACTGCTATGGGAAGAGCTCGATCGAGCAGTGAGAAAATCTTGCCCAAGCTCTGCAACTAATTTATGGGAAATTTTACAAAGAGAATGGAACAATCTCCAAGAAACCATATTGGACAAACTAGTCGCAAGGATGCCAAGAATATGCAAAGTTGTTATCAAGCATAAAGGAGGGCCCTTTGATGAAAAAAAAGTTTAATTTGTCTGATAAAAGTTCTAATTATCGCAAGTTTACGTTTGTTAATTACAAAGTCACTATTGTTACGTGTTATTGTTATAAGACGGTGCATTTATTTATTCTAATTTTATTTATTTCGAATGATATTTAGCAAAAAATTTGGTTCATCGTCCTTCCGCATTTGATTACTTTTGTCTATTTTTTGTTATCTATTTTTTGTTGTCTATTTCTATGTTATGACATTCTACTAAAAACACGCTAGAATCAAATCCAGAGTGAAATAGCAGATAATCTTCAAGTTTTAGGCTCAATGAAACTTATGTAAAGTTATTATTTCAACTAAATAACTTTCCAGATTAAGCATGTATTTTCATTTGAATCATGACATATCATTATTGTTATTGAAAAACAGTGTTTTTATGAGGAAAAAAATGGGAATAACAAGTTTTTGAAATCTACAATTTTTATTTTACAAAAAGACAATTTCACGTTGCAGATGAATATTTTACTTTTTTTTTGAACGACCATAGAAAGATGGATAAAAAAAATATTTTTTTTTTTAATCTGAAAAAACTTAACAGTATTCTACGTAAAAAATGAAACATTTTCTTTCATGTACACTTTTTTCTAGGATGTTTATTTACAAAGTTATAAAAAGTTGAAAATTTCTTAAATTTTATAAAAGAAAATTTCTCATACAAGGGTCATATTTGATGGACAAAATTTTGACCAGTGATTTGGATAGGGTTTGAAAAAAGGAAGATAGAATTGGCAAGTTATCAAAGATAGACTGAAAATTTCGGAATTTTCATTGATGAATATTCGATTGAAAAAATTAGAAAACCGATTTCATAAATTTTGCGATGCATACTATTCAGATGCTCTTGAAAAGAGCTTCCAAATGCGCTCCCGCTCATCTCTGTACGTTGATTCTGACCAAAAATATGAAACTTCCAAGTTCAAGCAATTTTGCTCGAGGGGGGGTAAAAGTGCTTGACCGGCAGTGTATACGATCAGCTAGGTTATAAGAAATAATTAGTTGTTCCAATTCGGCATTTTTAAATGTTTTTCTTCTATTCAAACTATATCTTAAATCTTTGAAATGTTCATTAAACTTAATACTTGAATTGAATTACAGCAACAGCTCTTACAAACAGCAATGCAGCTGCGCTTCAAGCTAGTTTAGCGACTGGTTTGGGAGCCAACTTAGCGACTACTTCTTTGCTAAATAACTCTCTAACTAATGAGCTGGCGTCAAATTTGAATAGCTTCGGTCAAGGAGCAGCCAGCTTAGCAAGTCTTCAGGCTTCTTTGGCTCAGTCAAGTAATACGTTCGCTCCTAGAGGCTTATCCAAATTGGATAATGATGTTTCCTTTGGTAATAATAATACTTTTGGAAATCCTACATTTGGAGGAAATAGAGATTTTGAAAGTAGTTTCAACCGAAACGAAAATGAGCGAGTCTCTGTTGGAGGTGCAACATTTTCAACAAATCCTCATCAGGCTGGAAATAATAGACAAACCACAAATGGGTCACGACAGATGTCAGATACTATTTTAATTGGAAATGTGAGTATACTAGTACATACATGAAACTATATTTCGATATTAAGCCCTTAGGCCAATTTGATAGTATCAATTTTGTTATACTATTGTAATACTTATATTAAAATTAATTTGTATTTAAATATTTGATATTAAATTATCTATCAAACGTGTGGTTGTTAGAAAACAAAAAGTGGCACACGTGTATCACTATTGAGAACACAAAATGTTAGTATATACAAGGGTTGTTTGAAAAGTCCGTGTAAAATGAGAACTACTTGATTATTTTTTAACAAATCTTTTTCATTTTTCAATATAGTCTCCTTTTAGGCTTACACATTTTATACATCGCTGATTTAGTTTATTGATCCTTTCTAAATAATAGGATTTGTCTAAATCTATAAAATAGGCATTCGTTTCTATAATCACCTCGTCGTTTGAATAAAATCTTCTCCCTACTAACCAATTTGTCATATTAAAGAACAAATAATAGTTCGATGGAGCCAAGTCTGGAGAATAGGGGGGATTTTAAACGAGTTGGAACCCTGTTTACATGAGTTTTGTGGTTACAACTAAGTGTGGACTGGTGCGTTATCGTGATGGAACATGACTTTTTTGTGAGCCAATCGTGGATGTTTTTCTTGCAACTGTTTTCAAATGATCCAACAACGATGAATAATATTCACCTATAATGGTTTTATCCTTTTCTAGATAGCTGATGAAGATTACTCCTTGCAAATCCCAAAAGACAGTCGCCATAATCTTGCCGGCCGAAAGAATGGTCTTTACCTTTGTTGGTTCAGATTCTCCCTTAGTAACCCATTGTGTAGACTGTTATTTGATCTCAAGAGTGGAGTGATGTATCTACGTTTCATTTACAATGAAATTACAGTCCTGTGGATTTTTCTGGAACAGCTATAAACCGTTCTTGCCACATTTCACGCATTCTCGTATTTGGTCAATTGTGAGCAATCGATAGCTTTTTCATAACTCACGTGTTGGTGCAAAATATTATGTACTTGTTCGCTCGAGATACTTACAGCACTAGCAATCTCAAGCACCTTCACTCTTCTGATAGTCATCACCATATGGTGAATTTTATTAATAATTTCTGGTTGGGTGACCTCTACATGGCATCAAAAACATTCAACGTATTTTGTGCTCATATAGCCACTCCGAAAAATTTGAAGCCACTTATAAATCATTCTAATCGAAGCACAATCACCATAATGTTTATCAAACTTCTGTTTAGTATCCTGAGGCATTTTGCTTTTAATAAAGTAATGTTTAATCAATACGAAATTTTTTTTCATTCATTTTTTCACGACCACTCAATTTTTTTTATTCAAACGAATGTTAAACACGAAGAAATATGAGGTCTGTCCCAAAAGTATTCGACTTACGTTCGTATCTTCGCGCAGAGAGACTCAGGCGACTTGTAGAGGGTACGAATGTCACCAGCAACTTCTTGTCAGTAGCCTGAGATACCAATGAAACGCCTTAGTTCCTGCGCAACGTATATTTGTTTACAACGAATTTTTTAGAAACGGCTACTCTTCAGCTTTCCATATCACTATTTATATGTATGATTATAATTTTTTAAATCGGAGATAACGTCGATTGAAAAGAACTAAATCACAGGTTTCGCAATGTTTAATACAGTTGCGGGCAAAAGTGTCCGGCCAAAGTTGTTTTTATGTTTTAATCATGTACAAAGGGTGCAAAGTGGCAACACAAATACATCATCGTAAAGTACCTTTATTATATACTCAAAACATGTAATTTAACAATTTATTTTAACAATCAACAAAATTTAATATCGATAATAACAATTATGGCTTATTCATAAGTATCCGGCCAACTATGAATGTGGCAATTACAAGTAGAAAAAATAGTAACACGAAACAAAACAAACTAGAAATGGTTTTAAATGTAATACAGTCATCAGAACTTCGTAGCCATACCCTTAGAAGCTATCACGGCAGCACATCGGTGAGGCATCGATTCAATAAGTGTCACAATCCTATCATGAGAGATGTTGTTCCACTCTTCTTGCACTTTTTGCCATAGGGAGGCTTTATTAGCATAGCTTTGCTTTCCTAATCTCATTTTTAGCTCTTGCCATAAGTGTTCAATAGGATTTAAGTCTGGAGACTGACTCGGCCACTGTAAAACTCGAATTTTTTTCTTACTAAAAACTTGCTGAAGGAGGTGTAACCTGTGTTTTGGATCATTATCCTGCTGAAATATCCATCCTCTGGGCATGTTTTGTCGAGCATAAGGTAGCATTTGCTCCAATATAATATCCTCGTACATGACAGAGTTCATATTGCCTTCTATTTTGAAGATTGGACCGACGCCTTTCCATGAAAATGCACCCCATAGCATTATGCTACCTCCACCATGATTCACAGTCGATATTTGGTATCTTGAATCATATCTACTAACTACCGGTCGCCGCACATACCTTCTACCATCATTTCCAAATAGATTGATTTTAGTTTCATCCGAAAACAGCACTTTTTTCCAGTCCTCAACATTATAGCTTTCATATTGTTTAGCAAATTCTAGTCTGGCCTTCTTGTTTTTCTTACTAATAAGTGGTTTTTTCACACCAACACGTCCAACAAGTCCTACTTCTCTCAGTCTACGTGATACAGTACTACGACTGCTGTCTGCTACATTTTCTTCGCGTAATTCGCGTGCAATAATGGCAGCATTCTTTTTAACATCTACGACAGCTTTTCTTTTGATCAATTTGTCAACACGATTAGTGGTTTTTCTTGGTCTCCCAGAACTTTTTTTATCTTTCAGAGTGTTAGTGCTGTGGAATCTAATAATTATATCATTCACAGTCGATTTTCCTATGCCTAGAATTTGAGATATATCACGAAAAACCTTTTCTTCATTGTGTAATTTAATTACGACTTGTCGAATATCTACAGACGTGCGTTTCGGCATGTTTACCGATTGATACTGATGTCAGAGCATAACTGATAGACAGTTCCAGCGCTTACATACCTTTGTGACCGATAATGTAAACAAAGCCACTCAAATTGTATCTACGTAATAGTTGGCCGGATACTTATGAATAAGCCATATTTTCTATTATCGATATAAAATTTTGTTAAGCATCATAACAAATTGTTGGACAACATGATTTGAATGTATAATAAAAGTACTTTACTAAGATATGTTTGTGTTGCTACTTTGCATCATTTATACATGATCAAAACATAAAAACAACTTTGGCCGGACACTTTTGCCCGCAACTGTATATGAACGGTAAAACTGACAGCATACTTGGGTTTGAAACAACAGAGCCCTACCTGTCGTAGGTTTGATGTTATTGTGTTTGAGGTTATGGGATTATAGCTTATTAAGGTTTTATAAACCGAGCGCTACCAGCTATTTAAGTTTTTTCTGCTAATATACTGTCTCGTTCAACAAAGATTCATCAAAGGAATTTATATGTCCTGTCATTTTTGCCGTTCATATATCGGTCTTTGTCAAACCTCTAATTTAGTTCTTTTCACTCGACGGCATCTCCGGTTTAAAAATGATAATCATACATATAAATATTGATATGGAAAACTGGAGAGTAGCCCTTTCTGATGGTTATTTCAGATTTGAAAATAATAAAAAATGGTGATGTTATGGATGTTCAAATATGGCGGATTACCGTTTTTTCTGCACTTTCAGGTTAGGATTACTCAAAAACCTAACGTCATGGAATGATTCTGAGTCCAGATTTGAGTTCTACGCCGAAAATTACTTCGGAAATGTTTATCAGCTACTTCATAACAATTACAACCTCATATTTTGCAGACCTATGTAATTTGCTTTAAGGAAAACGATTCATGTCTTTTTTTGAGAGTGCAACAGTTGCAAAAATCTATTGATTACCGCAAAGAACTTTCTATCAGAGAAAGGATTGATATTTGATGCAATTACTTTTGCATTTTAGGAAAAAACTGGTATTGCAAAAAAAACTTCCACGTTTAACGTATTCCCGAAAGAACTAAACAGTTGCTCAGATAAAATGAGCAAGCATAAACGATTCAAAGAACTGCAGTAAAATGAAATTAAATTGAGAAAGCAAAATGGATATTTAAATAAAATATTTATTTTACAGAAAGTTTTGCAAAAAATTGACTTCTGATTCAGAAAGATATTCCATTTTTATTTTATTTTACTTCAATGTGCTATGACGGTAATATAAATAAAAGTTTTGGCGTTATACGGGGGGGGGGGGCGTCAATAAGTCTTCACTAAAAGAAGGAAAAAAAAGTTTTGCGTATGTAATTTTTTTTTATTTTTCAACATAATCTCCTTGAAGGTCGATACATTTTATTAAACGGCCTTCCAGTTTTTTTAAGCCATCAGAAAAATGATTTCTGAAAACAATCAAAATAGGCATTGGTTTCGGCGATGACTTCTTTATTCGACGTGAATTGTTGTCCGGCAAGCCATTTTTTGAGGTTAGGAAATAAGAAAAAGGCACTGGGAGCCATCAGGCGAATATGCTGGATGGTAAATTAATTCGAACTCGAGCATTGTCTTGAAGAAAGAGACTTTTTTTTCAAGAGAGGACGTTTTTCTCTGATATTTTTTTTCAACTGACCTAATAATGACTCATAATATTGTCCAGTGATCGTCTGGCCCTTTTCCAAGTATTCGATGTAGATGATTCCATACGCATCCCAGAAAACCGTGGCCATAATCTTGCCAGCTGACTTTATTGTCTTTGCCTTCTTTGGGGCTAGTTCTCCTGCGGTAATCCATTGTTTGGACTGTTCTTTGGTTTCAGGAGTGTAGTGGTGTACCCATGTTTCGTCTACAGTTACGAGTCGACGCCAAAAGTCTTCCGGATTACAACGTATACGTGCCAAAAGAGCCTTAGGGGTGACCACGCGGGTTCGTTTGTTTTCAACAGTGAGCAAACGCGGCACCCATCTTGCTGATATTTTTTTCATCCCTAATTTTTCATGCAAAAGTGAAATAATTGTACCTTTTGATACCCC